TTCGACATTCACCAATATCTTTCTCCTGGTGTGGCTATGGTGCAGTTTAAGCTGGTTCTTGGCTTGAAATGCTGTGTTATTCTCTTGCAGCTTCATCACTAGGCTTCTAATTCCTACGTATTCGTTCCTCACCATTTTATAAAGATGCATTCCTTGTCTTAGGATCTCATTTTATTCCTCTCTGTACTAAAATTTACACCTGGCCTGTTGCACAACCAACTCTGTAACTATTTCACTGAATCTGTTGTATTGGAAGACATCCTAATATGTATCATCATTTGATGCATCACGCAATTGTGATTTCTGTGTGTAATCCTAATATTTTAAACCTAAATTTGCTTGTCCGTTTAAAGAATGAAGAACGCTTTGCGTAATAGTGGCTTTAGGCATTGTATGTACTAGCTCTATCTATGAATCCATCAACTTTTGTATTTCACCTTGTATGTATGTATTTTACCTGAATAAATATTTGTATTTGTATTTGATTTGTGTAAGATCTGTCTGCTGTGTGGCAGAGAATACGAGCATCGTCCTCAGTCTAATAAGACCTAATGGAATTACTCAGATTAGGCAAATTTGTAAAGTAGTTTTGTTAATAAAGATGTTAATAGTAAAAGTTCAAATGTGCGTCGGACTGTTGGCGTGTAGAACCGGCTATAATAAATTTGAGCAATTATAGAGGTGCGAAGATAATAATTTGTCTGGTGACATGCGTTAACAGCTCTCAACGACTCGTCCCATTTGTCCGAGCAAATGTTCTGGGTAATTATTAGGTCAACATGCGTTGGTAATATTTCACAGCTGTTGCAAAGGAGGGAGGGGGGGGGGGGGGAGGATGAGTGGGGGGGGATAAATCGCACGCGCGCACACACACACACACACACACACACACACACACACACACACACACACACACACACACACACACACACACACACACACACACACTTCAAGGATCGGTGCTGGGATCCGTACCGTTTCTCATCTATGTAAATGACCTCTGTTCAGGAGTTGAGTCTTATATGTCAATGTTTCAAGATGACGCAAAACTAATAAGAGGCAGATGAGGCTTGTAAGATTCTTCATGATGACTCAAACAAGCTACAGAGGTCCGAGAAATGGCTACTGGAGCTCAACACAGCAAATGTAAGGAAATGGGAACAGGTAACAGGAGACGATGAAGAGAAACTGCTTCCCTATAACGACTACAGAAAAAAAAACCATGGGAGTGGACATAACACCAAACCTAACTCCGGAGGCTCATGTACACAGGATAACATCAGCAGCGGCATACACTACACTAGGAAAAATCAGAACATCGTTCAGGAACATAAATAAGAAAGCATTTAGATGGCTGTACAACTACGTAAGACCAGTTTTAGAGCATGTCGCCCTATTACGGAGGCCCCCACCTAAAAAACGTACATAATGAAAACTCGGAAAGGTTCAGAAGCTTGAAACGAGACTCGTCCTAGAGTAGCAAGGGATGGGGGTATGAAGGAACTAAACCTGACGACGCTAGAAAAGAGGAGAGAGTGGAGATATGTCAGACGTATAAAACTAATAGAGGAATTGAGACAGGGGAAAAGATTAAATGTCCACAATGACCGAGGGAACAGAAGGCCTGCTCTCTAGGATTTGCCACTCGGGCCCCATTTCTCCCTCTGTTAGACTCCCTGTAGGTCTATAAATATCCTGGCCCCCTCACGCCATCCCCATTGGGGAATTGTCCTACTCTGGACGCACCAAATTACATTTCCTCTGCTCACCGGCGATGCCGTACCCCCTCTGTCGCTTCCGCTCAGACATTCTTCAATGAAATCGTCCTGTGTACATAATTATAATACTCATACGTATGTGCAGGCTTATACCTTTCTGCCTCGTACTTTTGTTGTTGTTATAGATTCAGCTACTTGGAACAAGTTCCAAGTAGCACGAGCTATGGTGAGCCCGTAACTTACCTGGCACAGGAGCGGGGCAAGTAGCACGGGCTATGGTGAGCCCGTAGTGGCACAGGAGCGGGGCAAGTAGCACGGGCTATGGTGAGCCCGTAGTGGACTTACCTGACACAGGAGCGGTGCTGTCCCTTCCTTCCTCCTTTTGTTACTTTTATGCCTTTATAGGGATAATTACCCTGGGGGTAACTGTCTTTCACCTGACTCTGTTTCTTAGAATTCTAAATGAATTGACAACAGTGGGATGAAATTATCCTTTTAGGTTTTCTTGTTTTAGTAGGAAGTGGTTTGTGTATAACATTGAGCAAGTTTTACTGTACAAGAGGAACTAAGCCATACATGCCATCCTGGAGTAAAGGTGATCATACATGTGTCTCCTAAACTATAGAGGCTTATATCATACTGCTCCAGTCTGGCCGACATACACAAAAATATTTGACGAAATTTGGGGCGTATAAGGTTACCAGTTAATATTATTTGATGAAGGTTACCACTGTGGGAGTTAATATTTATATAAGGTTACCACTGTGGGAGTTAATATTTATATAAGGTTACCACTATTAAGGTTACCACTGTGGGAGTTAATATTTATATAAGGTTACCACTGTGGGACTTAATATTTATATAAGGTTACCACTGTGGGACTTAATATTTATATAAGGTTACCACTGTGTTCACAATATATATGAATTCACGCAATCTAAAAATTACTCACAGCTATCATGAGGTTGTTATACCTGAAACAAGTCCGCACGAATAATCTTAATTATTTTCTCTTCAGTCCTTGGAAACCACTTATTCAAACAGCCATTGATCGGAGAAATTTATAATTTCCTTAAACACTTTTCAGTGGTGTCTAATTCCGCATAAACTCGCCTTTCTCTCTTTCTCTCTTTGGAAAGTTCTTTTCACTGTGCCTGGCGCGATCCTGGTGTAATTGACTGGAGCTCGTAAGTCCAAACTAAAATCCAATTCCACGACCACTGGAGAGAGAACCTATCCATTATGATACAGAAGCACCAAGTAAATCCAGAGTCAGAAAGTCGCCTTTGACCACATTCTGCTAGAAATTCCCCTGAGTAAAGGTTAACTCCAGGACGGAAGGTATTGAAATGTAGCATCGTTCGTCCGTAGAGTGTTATATGATGCTAGCTCCTGACACAAGACCATATTGTTCCAAACACTCGGGTCCGTTAGGAGAGAAATTACTGATCCACAACGGCCTGAAATCACCAGTATAAAAAGCTATTATCTGTTCAAATCTGAATCCTATGTTTATGGTCAGTACAAAACGTCCACCAGAGTTTTGGACGGACCCCACATCAAATGGATATCATCAGCGGCGTATGCTAGATTGGCCAACATAAGAATTGCCTTTAGAAACTTGTGTAAGGAATCGTTCAGAATCTTGTATACCACTTATATCAGACCAATGCTGGAGTATGCGGTCCAACCATGGAGTCCATACATAGTTAAACACAAGACAAGGTTAGAGAAGATTCAGAGGTATACAACTAGACTAGTCCCAGAGTTAAGAGGTATGAGTTATAAGGAAAGACTACGAGAATTAAACCTCACGTCCCTGGAAGACAGAGTTAGGGGAGACATGATAAGCACCTACAAAATTCTCAGAGGAATTGACAGGGTGGACAAAGACAAACTATTTAGCATGGACGGAACATGAACAAGGGGACACAGGTGGAAATCGAGTACCCAAATGAGCCACAGAGACATTAGAAATAATTTGTTCTGTGTCACGGTAGTTAATAAATGGAATGCATTATTCAGTGATGTGGTGAAGGCAGACTCCATACAGTTTCAAATGTAGATATGATGGAGACCACTGGGCTCAGGGTCCTGTACACCAGTTGGCTGACATGTGAGAAGCAGGACCAAAGAGCCGAAGCTTAACCCCCGCAAGCACACACAGATGAGTACCAGACTGTGCGACTCAGTGGTTGCCAGGATTAGGTTGGGTTACCGTTACCTGTGGCAGGTGGCTGCAGGTGACGGATCTATCAATCCTGAGCACTTCAGGTGCAAACTATATGAGCAGGAACTGCGGCATGATCTCACACACTACATCACTGAATCCCTAGTCATTAAACCATTCAGACCCGTTGGCATGAGGGACCTGGAGATTTGCAGTTACTTTATTAACTCTCGTATTTTTTTATGATATCCTCATAATGCACAGAGTTTGCCAGTGCAGACTACGTATCACATGGCCCTGTATGACTAACCATCCTGTGTGATGGGAACTTTCAGCTCACGTAGCAGTTTTTTGACACACTCTGTACTCCCCTTCATATAGTCTAGGACAGCTGCACAAATGCAGATGTATCTAAATGTGTTAATACAAAAAATACTTAATACTATAATACTATAAATACCATTGGGATTACCTTGATACTTAAGCGTGTTAAGTTTTGATAATCTGTTTACCGACACAATTTATTTAGTGTCAATCACTGTCATGGTAAATACCTTTTGTTTCCTGTACTATGACGAAATTGCTATTGTGCCCAAAACGTCTATTCGCCTGTACTCCACAGACTCGTTACTAATTAAGTTCACTATACCTGGTTAAATATTGTAACATCAACACTATTGTGCACTGTTACACGGCTTCGCACTATTTTGCCACCAATAGCGTACCAAGCCTTTGCAAATTACTCCTCACTGTATCGAGCATAATACAGTGCACAATTTATTAATTCACAGTCTCTTATTATGCCACCGTTAATTATGTGCACTGTAACACTATATATATAATCGTTACACAAATCCTACGTCATGATGGTTGATATTCACTGATAATATTCACCACACGCCACTTAGGGTAATCTTGCGAGCCCCAATTTACGAGTCTTTGACTGTACCCTTATGAGGTCATCTTGACGACCTCATTTAAACAGTAGTGAGGAGTCTATCCAGGTTGGTTGATGATCGTATATACTCTTTCAAATAAATAGTAGTCCATGCACTTAGTTTGATGGTTACAGCGACGGATTCGCTTCTTGCTGGGTCGCCGCTCAATCCCCAATGGTCCAAGTGGTTGGAAACCGGTCGGTTGATGAAGAGAGGCGCCTCACTCGCCACGCTGCTGACACAAGCACAGTGTCGTCTACAGGCGGCTACGTCGCACAGCTGAAGAGTATCTCTGGCTCTTCCAAAACCATGTTGGGTCCAGGCGCCCACCTACGTATGTATACATCAGGGTGAAAGAAATATATAGTGATAGCTCATATAGATATATATATATAAATATATAAACATATAAAGATATATAGTATGTATATATAGTAAAGATATACAGTATGATAGCTCATACTGCCAGATGCACCGGCAGATGCCTGCCGGTTCTCTCCGTAAGACCTAGACCCTCCACCATCTGGATCCTCTACTTAACTGATTTCATCTCGGCCGCGGGTACTGCTTGTGTGCTCCTCCGGCGATGTCGTCATTAGTTTTGTGATGTCATCGCTGCTCGTACTTTGACTTATAGTTCTGAGTCGTTATCATATTGTCGCAGGCATCTCTCTGCCTGCTGGATAAGAGTTATTGCCCGACAAACACACACCGAAACTACGACGTTGGTACAACGTTCGAACAAGTTTTAACACCTAACCAGTTATAAAAACCAATATAGCAAGTTGTAACAACGTTCTAATACGTCATAAACACGTTAAGCCAAGATGTAACAGCTTTATTACAAGTTGTAACAAGCGGAAAATAGAGACAGTTTCGGTTTGTGTTTCCAGGGTGCCTCCTGCACCAAATTCCTGTGACGTCAGTGATTACGTTCACCTCTAGCCATAGACGATAACTAATGACTAATGACTTATAAGACATTTGTGATTTTAAGTGTTTTTTTGTATGTAGCCAATGGTATAATCTGAGACTCGAGATCTTATAAAGATGCTCATCTTAGAGATGTTCTTGGGTGCCAGCGTGGTGGATCATCCACAGAGTAAGACTCCTGGCCAGCTTTACCTCGCTTACTGGTGTAGACGTCTGGAAACACATGCACGCAAATGATGATGACGACGGGGAAAGAAAGTTTTGGCAGAAGACTTGAATGGAACTCGAGAGAACTAAATCTAACAATGGACATGCGCTGGATAAGCGAGAACGTAATCAGAGCCTACAAAATACTCCAGTATTCAGATAAGGTGGATAAGGACATATTAGTCGAAATTGGAGGGACTACGACCAGGGTACCTCAATGGAGGCTCAACACACACAGTGTTAGGAAGATCTTTGTCGGGAGTATGGTAGAGATCCGGCGGAACTAACTATACGGATAGTCGAAAATAACTCCATACAGGTTTTCGAAAGAGGTGGGCCCAGGAGCTAAAGCCTCAACCCGCGTCAACATAGCTAGGCGAGTACCCACACCCACCCACCACAACACGAGTCACGACATCATCTCCAAAGTGAAAAACAAATCCTGTGTATGATGCATTTTAGGGCCATATATTATGAAGAGAGGAACTCTGGTCTCCCGGAGCTGCTCGGAGGCGACCACGGGCGCCTGCTTCTCGTATGCATGAAACGACACTTCGGATCCCAATGGCGGAAGGGACGCATCAACCGGGCATATTTAGGGCGAAACTTTGCGAGTGAAATGCAGAAATTGCTGGCAGTAATGAAGAGGGAGGAGGTATGTGATAGTGGGAGGATGAGGGAGGGAGCAAAGAGGAAGATTATATATATATATATATATATATATATATATATATATATATATATATATATATATATATATATATATATATATATATATATATATATATATATATATATATATATATATATATATATAAATGTCGTACCTAGTAGCCAGAATGCACTTCTCAGCCTACTATGCAAGGCCCGATTTGCCTAATAAGCCAAGTTTTCCTGAATTAATATATTTTCTCTAATTTTTTTCTTATGAAATGATAAAGCTACCCATTTCATTATGTATGAGGTCAATTTATTTTTATTGGAGTTAAAATTAACGTAGATATATGACCGAACCTAACCAACCCTACCTAACCTAACCTAACCTATCTTTATAGGTTAGGTTAGGTTAGGTAGCCGAAAAAGTTAGGTTAGGTTAGGTAGTCGTAACATAATAAATTTATGAAAACTTGGCTTATTAGACAAATCGGGCCTTGCATAGTAGGCTGAGAAGTGCGTTCTGGCTACTAGGTACGACATTTATATATATATATATATATATATATATATATATATATATATATATATATATATATATATATATATATATATATATGTAATATAATATTATATAATTATGAACATACAGTGAGTGAGATTGACCGAGCGATCAAGAACTCGCCAGTTAGCTAGCGACAACCCATCCTCACACTAAGTCCATTCCATCCAGCGGTCGACCCCAAAGACGTATTCATCAATATTAACATGCTGTGCGGGAATTTTCTCAAATATATATTAATATTGTTGCATATTAGAATATTGCGCATATTTAGGCATTGGTTAGGTTCTGTTGGCGATTATTTGTATTTGTAGTACGTGGGTGAAGCATTTACAGCGTTGTGGTTCGAACAGAATTCGTCAGTGAAGCACTTGTTCCGGAAGTGTTCGAACGAAATCCGTTGTGACCCGTGTGTAAACCGTTTATCATTCATAAATAGGGGGTTTTGGCGGGTGCATGGAATCACTTTTGAGTCTTTGTTTGGAGGACAGGTTGAAAGGACTTGAGTCGAAGCAGCCCGTCCTCCAAACAAAGATCCAAAAGTGATTCCATCCACCCGCCAAACCCCCTGTTTATGAATGAAAAGCGGTTTACACACGACTCACAACTGCTGACGTTCGAACATATCCGGAACAAGTGCTTCACTGACGAATTTTGTTCGAATCACAACGCTGTAAATGCTTCACCCACGTACTACAAATACAAATAATCGCCAACAGAACATTAACACCTAACCTAACCTATGCCTATATATACACAATATGCTAATATATTATAATATTAATTTATACTTGAGAAAATTCCCGTTTTGAGTGAACAGCAAGTTAAAATTTATGAATGCGTCTGTGGGGTTGACCGCTGGATGTAATGGACTTGAGTCGAGGACGGGTTGGCCTAACCACTTGGGCTGTCCAGTAGAGCAACAGTCTGGCTTCATGTAGGTCGGCGTTCAATCCCCGACCATCCAAGTTGTTGGCCACCATTCCTTCAACCCCCCCCCCCGTCCCATCCAAATCCTTATCCTAACCCCTTCCAATTGCTATAATCGTGATGGCTTGGCGCTTTCCCCTTGATAATTCCCTCCCTAACCCACTATACGTCAACACGCCCTAAACGCCTGCATGTGTTTACACATGAGCGTCTATGTATACAGAAAGGCACTCCTGCTTCCACTAAACATTTGGTGTACACAAGAGGTGTGGGTGTCCCTTGCGTGCATGTGTGCGCCTGCGCGTGCGCAGAATCGACGCGTAGCCTGCTTAAAAGCGCCAATTTATAAGGATTAAAACCGAGAATATCAGGCAAGTACCCACTGCGAATTAATTTAAAGCGGAGGTTGTCGATACGGCTAAGCTTCCTGCGGCACTCTATGTAACTGATTTTATAACAAAACTCATGCAACGGAAATTATGGAGCGGGCCTTCGTGGGTAGTTATCATGCGAGCGGGTCTGCGGATTTTCGCGCAGGGTGCTGGGAAGTGTGATCATCACGCACACTCGCTATAATAAATGGTAGGATGCAAGGAAATATTTTCTCTTAACGGCAGAATTATATACTGATGTGCAACAGTTTCATTAAGAGATAGTAGCCTCCTGGCACGACCCAGTATTTTGATACTCTTCAATACTCTACCAACATTATATATATATATAATAAGCATATATATATATATATATATATATATATATATATATATATATATATACTGCTTATTATATAATTCATTATTAATACACCTTACATGCTCTAATTTACCGTATATTCTTTGTTGTACCGTGTGTTATCTCATGTACTGTATGTTATCTTTTGTTCCGTATGTTATCTCTTGTACCGTATGTTATCTCTTGTACTGTATGTTATCTTTTGTTCTGTATGTTATCTCATGTGCCGTATGTTATCTCTTGTACCGTATGTTATCTCATATACCATATGTTATCTCTTGTACCGTATGTTATCTCTTCTGCCGTATGTTATCTCTTGTACTGTATGTTATCTTTTGTTCCGTGTTATCTTTTGTTCCGTATGTTATCTCATGTTCCGTATGTTATCTCATGTGCCGTATGTTATCCCCTGTACTGTATGTTATATCTTATACCATACATTATCTATTTCACCCTGTATTATCTATTGCACCCTGAATTATCGTTTGTACCTTGTATTATCTATTGTATCTTGCATTATGTATTGTACCCTGTGAATCATTTGTTGTACTATGTATTACCTTTTGTACCCATTTATCTAATGTACATTATATTATCTAATATATCCTTATATTATTAATTATTGAGGATTAATACTGGAATATTTTTAGAACTGTCTCGCACTTTAAAGCAGCGTTTATTAAAAAAAAAATAAACAGCTGTGAAAGCAGACAATTATCATTATATTCTGCAATATAGAGCACAGCTGTGCGGGAATTATTATAATGAATTGTTCGTAATGTTATATATAATTTGCTTTATTGTCAGCATATGTATTAGCGACATAGGCTATAAGTGAAAAAAAATATATAATGGATTTTAATTTTGCCTCCGGGTAGAAAGTTTTGAATGTTCAAGAGTTAATGTCATTCTTTCGGAACGAAGCCGGTTAATGTTTAGGCTTTATCCGGATCATTTTTGCGCGTCTACTGAAGTGAACAGTGTTAACGGGCCAGAGAAGCCTGTGCTATTTTAAGGCGGCAACGGTCACTCGTGCGAGCAAATACAGCTGCAGCCTTGTCTACTGTTGTATGTACAAAGGTTGTGTACACTGCGTTGTTGTTACAATCCTATGGATCTCTCGGTGCAAAGGAACAAGGGGTCCAAGCACAACCAAATGCATAAATTGCATGTATAGTGGCGGTTGGATTAAAGTACTGCCAAACGTATGACTATGTAACCTTCTAGCTTAAATAGAGACGCTAATCAGGAATATGAATATGGATGTATAATTACATTAAAGGTTTATAGTCATATTGAGTTGAATGATGAGTGTGGATCATTTAGGAGAAATTGTTGCTGTACAACAGTTGGGATGAGTGGGCGCCAAGGGGCTGGTGCTGGAGGCAGAGAACTTTGTATGTGGCTGACGGGGGAGGACGTGCCGGGGCTCCCACCCTGTATAATTGCCGGCAAGTACCCTTAATCCATTTTCAGTACTTGAGCCACCATTCTTAACTTGTTTGTAATATAACATGCAACACTGGTTGAGTACAGGACCATGGATATGGCATATATAAGCATTTCAGCCAGTGAGGATTTATTGTTTGTGTGGAGGGAGTTCAAGTCTCCATCAGAGAGACGAGGTATGTCTCCATCAGAGAGCTGTAGGCCTACGTGTAGTTTGCCAATGTGCATCCATACTCCTGCCTGTGTAGGGTAGGAGATTTAGAGTAAATGTAGATGATGTAGAGAGGAAGGGCTTTTGTATATGGTGGGGGGGGTGTTAACCGCCCCTCCCCCCCCCCTCACCTTTCCCGGGGGCGGGAGAGGGGTCTTGTCTAACCCTTACAGGAAGACTTGCCAATGATCTCCAGTATATATACACGTATTTAAGCCCCAGTTGTAACCTTAGTTACATTAACGTACCGACCATAACGTTAGTGTGACGCACATCATGACTTCAGTTCTAGAATGTTCATGACTAAAGTATACTTGCTTGTTGGCACATGATCTCGCACACTACATCACCCAATACCCAGTTATCAGACCATTCAGACCCGTTGGCATGAGGTCCCTAGAGCTTTGCAAGTACTTTATTCACTCTCGTGTTGTTGAGGATATCCTCATATTGCACGCAAAATTTGCCAGTGAACAAATTGTCCAGGCCATACGTTCAGGCTTTTGAACGTATGGCCCTGTATGACTAACCATTCTGTGTGGTGGGGACTTTTAGCACCACGTAGCTAGTTTTTTGACACTGTACGCTCCTTCATTCAGTATAGGGCAGCTGCACAAATGCAGATGTATCTAAATGTGTTAAAAAAAAGCGGAAGAGGCTGCGATATTTGGATTTTTACCAGCAGGGTATTTCGTGATTAGGTGAGAATGACCCTTAAACTTCTAATTCGTTAGCCTAAAAATAACGGTACTATTTTATTCTATTCCTAATCCTGACAGAAAAACATATTTTCCATATATATGTTTGCCTAATACTTAAAATATAATTATGTTTAATAACTGCCGTTGTAGTTATAAATGTAATTACGATTAGTCGGAATATTAAAAGTTAAGTTCACAGACTTGATGAAATTTACAACCACATGTTCCATTAATAAATGTTACACATAACGTCAGTTTTTCACCCATTAGAAGTTAGCCTAAAAACTTTAAATTAGGTTTACAAACGTGTAACAATTTTTACTTCGCATGCAAGCATAATTTAAGTCTGAAATTAGCTGTGGCTTTGTGGATGTAAAGTCAGAAGTCGTTGTTTGGTGTTTGAGAGAGAAGTGTTG